CACCACCTCTCATTGTTTATACCGTTCCAAAAAAAAAAAAAATCATCGGCCCACCGAGCAAATGCCTGGTATGCCCGTCCAGCTATGGTGCCATCAGTTAACCCTGCCTAGGGTTGCCGACCCCTGTTCTACAGACTCGACTCTGTTTAGTTCAGCTATGGTTCCCTTGCTGCTCTACACAGGCAGCAACTCGTCTAATTCTCCACACATCTGTTATCCAACGGCCTGGATCAGAATCCCATCCCAGATCCATTCAAACCCTGTGATAATTACTAATCTTTTATCTAACGACAGTGCCTTATATATTTAGCTATCTAGCTAGATCTGGGTCATGCTATACAGCCTTCATGTTGTTAGGCAGTCAGGACTGCAGCATTTAACACTGAGGGTCAAAATGATGGTTGGTGGTTCTCTGTACAAATGGTCGATAAATGTTTTTTGGGAGGGGAATGCAACACATCAACATTCTCTGATCTTTAAGCCCATTTTAGGAAGAGTTCGCTGTGCAGCCCACTCCAGCTTGGCTAAAACAGACCTAACAACTGAAACATGAGTGGATTTATGGTTTGGTTTTGTTTTTTTAAGTGTGTGTGACCTTTTACTGCATTTAACTGGCTGAGCACTGTATAAGATGTGACATGTAAGGAGGGGGTTGGGTAAACAAGGCATGGGCTCACGTCCAAATTCCTTTTGCAAAACAGGCTGTACGGTGGGTACAGGGACTGTTTTCTCTGAAAAATCCAAACCATAAGTTGGCTTCTACCTCTATTAAATAAATCTGTAATCATAACGGCTTCACAAAGTGAGCGGCTCCCCTGACTGGGAGCGTAGTCACAACAAAAGCACCTTGAGCCTGAACTTGCACTGAACCTGTTGAAACAATCCTTAAAGAAAATAAAGCAGAGAAGGCGAGGTGTGAGGAAGCTGTGAGCTTTGTTGCTCCAGATCAACCTACAGGCACGTCTGGAATCCCCTCAGCCAAGAATCTGCTATTTTCACATAAAGGGTAGCAGCACTGCTGAGCGCATAGCCTCCAGTCACATACTGAGTGCTCAGCCATGTATGTGTGGTATGAAGCCAGCTCTGTGAATGCCCTTTGCATTTTGTAACTGCATGTTGCCTCCAAATAAGATTCACAGGCAGTGGAAATGTCACCACTTCTTCAGCTTAGTATCAAATTGTATTCTGCAAAAAGTCGCTGGATTTTATTTTTTATTAAAAATATTTTTTTATTAAAATGTTTGGGTTAATTTTGCATCAGTGAGCACATCAAAGGAGAAACCCACCTGCTCTAATGTCGCCGTCTTCCACCCACAGGCGGCATGTTCGAGTACGTGTCTGGGGCCAACTTCTTGGGCGAGATAACAGAGTGGGCTGGCTTCACTCTGGCTGGTCACTCTGTTCACAGTGCAGCCTTCGCCATCTTTACCGCAGTGGTCCTCGCTAGCAGAGCTGTGGCCCACCACAAGTAAGAACAAAAACAGGCAGCGTTCTCACACTCAGACCAATGTTCCTGGAGTGTGCACACTGTACATTTTAAACAAAATTAACACAGGAAAATTTCTTGTTCCTTTGCTCTGCAGATGGTACCTTGCCAAGTTTGAGGACTACCCTAAAAGCAGGAAGGTGTTGATTCCCTTTCTGTTCTAGAAAACTGGACACCTCGAAAGGTAATGTGTTCTCCTGCAACGGCGAAGAACATTCCCGTGATCATTTGCCTAATTTAGAAATTCTCTAATGTTGCAACAAACCTTGAACACAGCTTATTTTTTTTGCACTGAGAACAAGCTCACTCTAGGTGTGAAGAAGCAATAGTTAAAAGTCACCATCTCAGAAAGGTTTTTATCATTTCTGTTATGTTGGTAATAACATCACAAAGCACCAAGGAACCTCAACAAACATGGACTGAATGTGCTGGAAGTGTTGCATTTGCAGGAGAGGCAGCATTCAGCTCTCCTCCAGAGGAAATAAAGGTTGTGAATGGAGTAGCTCCATGGTAATATACGGGATTTATGACAGTCTACATCAGCAGTAAACAGCTTTAAGACTCTCCTCCTGCTCTGCATATTCTCCCAGTTGGAACATAAAGTTGGAAATGCAAAGCAGACATTTAAAATGGTCATTTTATCCTCAAGATTCCGCATTTGTAAATCTTTTTAACGTCGATTCGCATCAAATAGACGAGTTCTGAATTACGTAGAACGTGTTTTCTACTGGATTTTGCTCTGGGTGTCATCTACTGACCTCGTCATCTCAAAGTCCTGAAAGAAAAGCAACTTTGTGAATGTAACTGCATATCTGGACTTAAAAAAGACTGGTCTGCGAAATTTGAATAGGAATGAAACATTATATATCAAACAAAAGTGGGAATCTGAATTATGTCAGAGGATGACTGGCGATCCGTTTGTCTCTCACAGCATAATTCTACCAGCTCTAGACGATGGAGAGAATATGGCTGAAAAAATGTGATTAGGTTCTTTATTACACTTTATATCAAAAGCAAGCAGCTGAAAACAACCAACGATGCTGGAGATTATGTGGAGACTGGGACGCCAATCATTCTCATGTGTTTTGGAAGTGTAAAAATATCAAACCTTACTGGGAAAGCATTGCGGTAACAATGAAGAAAGTGCTGGGGTATGACGTGCCGTGGGAGGCACAAGTAGTGAATTTTGGAATATGGGAAAATGTAAGAAAGGAGGACCATTACTTGTTTAAAATTATGTTGTTGTCAAGCAAAAAGATAATAACAAAAAACTGGCTGAAAAGTGACCCTTTAAAATTGGAAGAATGGACTGATGTAATTGAGGAAATATATATAATGGAGAAAATGACCTACACTTTGAGACTGAAATCTGATAAACACCGAAAACAGTGGACAAAATGGATAGCCTATAAGACTCACTCAGCCCCATAAGGCAGGGACCTCTCCTCGTTGGAGTTTTTCTTCTTCTTAATTCAAATAGCTTTTGGTTCTTGGTCCTTTGAGGCATAGGCGGACGGCCGGGCCCTGAGAGAATGGGGTCCTGCTATTACCCGCTCCGGGTTCAAATATGTTATGATTGTGGATGAACTGGACCTGTCGGGGAGAGGACCAGACTTCGGGCCCTGTTTGGCAGCCTTCATATGGATGTAAGGGGCTGGGTGGATGGTGTTTTTGGGACGGGATTGATAAGACAGTACTTTGGGTAGGGCTGCTCAATTAATTGAATTTTAATCACGATTACGATCTGGGCTTTCAACGATCATTAAAAATGACTGAGCCGATTATTAGCACCTCCCTCGTGCTTTACTCTCACGCTGCTCCATGTGGCAAATCGAGCGCACCTCTCTGCATTTCGAACACACGTCACAACAATTAAGAGGACCCGAGGGAAGCTCGGAAAGCTAAGCAGAAGTTATTTGGAGAGGAGAGTGACTGC